CAGCGATTTGAACAGGAGTTGTGTGATATTGTAACTGCAGTAGGAAAACTGTTAAGCTTGGAGATTCCTAAAGGTGGCATAGAAATCCTTGCCAACAAATTTAAGGTGTAAGTGGATGAATTGTAAGCAGAAGCCACACTGCTAAGAGAGTATGATGGACCTACTCCTAAAGGTTGCACCACAAATACCATCAAAGAGTGGCTTGATTGTTTTAAAGAATCAGATCGATCCAACATGCAACTGTAACTCCAATTCTAAAGAAGTCCAATCTTGACCCTAACTCCACACCCAACTATCGTCCTATCTCGCTACTCCTTTTGCATCCAAGATCCTTGAAAAAATTGTGTATGCGAGATTGACAGACTTCCCCGAGTCCAACTCTCTGCTAGACCCGCTTCAATCTGGTTTCCGCGCTAAGCACTCTGTGGAAACGGCACTGACCAAAGTATCCAATGATCTACTCACTGCAAAATCTCGTGGTCACTACTCTATCCTAATTCTCCTTGACCTATCTGCGGCTTTTGACACTGTTGATCATCAACAGCTTCTTCTCATCCTCCGCAATATCGGTCTACAAGATACTGCTCTCTCCTAGTGCTCCTCCTACCTCTCCCAGCGCTCTTTCAGTGTTTCTTTCTCTGGCTCTGCTTCTTCTCCCCAACTCCTCTCTGTTGGTGTCCCCCAAGGTTCAGTCCTTGGTCCCCTACTGTTCTCCATCTATACTCTTGGTAAACTTATTAGCTCCTTTGGCTTCCAATATCATTTCCAATATAATTTCTATGCAGATGACACACAAATCTACCTGTCCTCTCCTAATCTCTCCCCGTCCCTCTTGATTAGTGTCTCTGACTGACTCTCTGCTGTTTCTAACTGGATGGCTGCCCATTTCCTTAGACTAAACGTGACCAAAACTGAAATTCTGGTCTTTCCTCCTGTGTCTGTCTCCCTCCAAGTCAACGGTGCTACCATCAGCTCCCCCGCGCAGGATCGCTGCCTAGGTGTTCTCTTTGACTCTGACCTCTCCTTCAAGCCTCATGTACAATCTATCGCCAAATCCTGTCATTTCCATCTCAAAACATTGCGCGCATCCGCCCCTACTTAACGCCTGATGCGACTAAGGTGTTGGTCCATTCCACTGTCCTTTCTCGCCTTGACTACTGTAATCCGCTTCTCAGTGGTCTTACGTGCTTCCAACTGAATGCGGCGGCGAGGCTCATCTTCCTGTCCGCCCGCACCTCCCATGCCTCACCCTTCTGTCAGTCCCTACATTGGCTTCCTATAAAATATAGAGCTCAATTTAAAATTCTGGTTCTTGCTTTCAAATCTCTACATAATGCTGCTCCCATCTATCTGTCCTCCCTTATGCACAAGTATGTCCCATCTAGGCCCTTACGATCTGCTGAAGACTTACGTCTATCGTCTGTCCGTACTCCCACCTCTGATGCTCGCCTTCAGGATTTCTCGAGGGCTGCACCGTTCGCTTCCCTCCTCTGTTAGATGCTCACCCAGTCTCCACTCCTTCAAAAAATCATTTAAAACCCACTTCTTCATAAAAGCGTATCAATTAAACTGTTAATAGCTGTTAATAAATTTGACGGCACTCTATAAATATCATAATAATAATAATAACACATTTAATTATTTTTTTATAAGTGTGTTCAGTGCTTTACAGTGTTACCTGTGACAAGCTGTTCATGTGAAAGAGCCTTTTCAAAACTGACACATGTAAAAACCAAACTGAGGAGTACAATGTCTCAAGAACGCCTGGATGCACTCATGATATTATATATTGAGCAAGAATTGGCTTGGTCGGCTACTTATAATGAGGTCATTGAAGAATTTACGTCCATAACACTTTCTGTGCAACGTCTTCTTCTCTAAAGCATAAAGATGAGGAATCCATAATAGTCTGTGGGGGTCCTGACAACTTTATTGATGCCAATTTGGTTGAAGCAACATTTTGATTTAGTTTCTGTTGTAAACATTCCCGTGTACAATGCACTTTGTGTAAAAATGATTACTTTTTTTTTAGATTTGTTACAGTTAGAACAGCTTATTTATTTTAAAGTTTTTTTAAGTAAATTTTTTTTTAAATGTTTGTTGACATTGCTAAATGCTTATTTAATAAAAAAAGTTTTAATACGGTTTTTAAATGTTTGTTTATATTGATAATTATATGAGTGTGGGTCTGTATGTATGTATTCAGAGTGTATTTGTGTATATATATGTGTGTGTATGTATATATAATACACACGCTCGCGCATGCCTAGGCGGCGTGTGTGCTTTAGGGGGGCACACCCTAATGCAATAGGCTGCGCACGCCTATGCCCCCCCATTAAATAAAGTCCTACCAACCTCCCTCACCCTAAAAATAGTGAGTGGAGAAACAATAAAACAAAACTCCTGTAAATACATTTTAAAAACTTACCATTTGATATTTTCTTTTTTCTAAATCCTTATTTTTTCAGTCCCAAAAAAGGCCAAATTAAAATCCATAAAGCCCATTGAACTTATAAAAACTAAAAAATGCCCAAGTGCCCCAAAAAACCATGCAGACTGTGCTCCTCGGGGCAAAAGGCTTATAACGCCTTTCCACTCCCTGCAATTTGACTCAGAGTACTCTGATTGGTTGGTTTAAGCCAACCAATGAGAGTGCTCAGATAGGTAAATATCATGGTTACCAGTAAGGCTCACTATTTAAATATCAGAGCACTCTTATTGGGAGGCTTATAAGACATTAGGGCCCCCACCTGCCGCTCATGGGTGGGGACTGGGGAGGAGGGACAATAGGTCCTCCCCTATTGTCATTTAGGGCCCCGTCGTTTAGCAGGGCACAGGTTGGAACTCAGGAGGGACACTATGTCCCCCTGCTAGTTAATAGATGCCACATCATTTATTTTTTTTACAACAGTGAGCAGCCATAGTTGTTTTTTTTTTTTTATCACATTGAGCAGCTTATGCCAATATGGGAGTCATGGGGGGTTAGGAAGTGACGGGGAGCACAGCTCCCTGCCGCTTCTATTGTTACATATTACAAGGAGGTAGCTGCGAGCCAGTAGCTCCCTCCTTGTAATAAACTGAACAAACGAACACCAACATTCACTGTTTGTTTGTTTGTCTGGTTTCTATTCATTCATTCGTCTTTCTGATGAATGAATGGACGTCTTTCTGATGAACGAATTGACAAAATTCCCATCTGAATTTTGGACAATAGCAAATGCCCAAGTGTTTAACTGGGCATGCATGGAAATTTCATTGCGCTATCTAGTGTGGGCAGATGACATGTCCCACAGGGCCTTCATCTGCCCACACAAAGATGGCAGCGCTCAGGACCTAGGTTCGGGCATGAAACAAGGATACAAAAAGGTAACATGGAGGGTTAAGGGCATTTGGGGATGACTAGGGGGCAATTAGATGTATTGGAGTCGGGAGGGGGGGTTAAAAAAACAAAATGGATGTAGCCATGACAGTGCCACTTTAAATACTATTTAACAGGAAAGGCAACATGGTTTTCTTACCAGGTCGATCAAAGTGGAGAGGGTGAAATATCACAAAAACCTCTAGTTATCAAAAGGGAAGGAATAGTTGATACATAATAATTCTAAATGTCTCCAGTACAGATTCTCTTAGATATTCTGCATAGATAGTTATAGATAGTTATAATCAGAAAGATAATCCTGCTTCATACCATTCAGTCACAGCCATGATAAGGGATAAAGAAGGCACATATAAGCCAATTCTGAATGAGCTAGAGAGCTCATTGGCATAGAGTCAAATAGTATCATATCATGCAAGCATATGAAGATTTCTGCATACCAATAAAATTCATGAAAGAACAGCAAGAAAGAAACCATTACTCAGAAAGTAGCAACTGAAAAGAGTGTCAGGACTGTACTCTAGTTTGAATGTGAGAAAAGGTTTTGTGTTCGAATGAGACTGAGAGAGATCTTTCTGGTCAAAACTGAAAATGCTTTGCAAAATAAAACTAACATTGTCTGTGCTTCACACCATATATACAGTGAGCATGGAGGGCCACCAGCACCCACTCTTATATATATTTATATATATAGTTGCGGAGTTCATTTGTGCATCTTTAACACCTTAAGGATGGAGGCAACAAGTTTTGATCAAAACAAAATCATAATCTGCCTCCAAATTTCATATTCAGTACACCCACACTTATTATATTTCATTTTGTTCAAGAGAAACAGGACTTTAATTTCACATCAAACTGAGGAGTACAATGTCTCAAGAACGCCTGGATGCACTCATGATTGTAAGAATATTAAATAGTTAACTTGTTTATATGTATTTTATGCTTTTATAAGGTTTATAACATGATTATTGCTGACTGAAGGAATATTGAATACTTAAACTCAACTCAATATACGACATAATATGCTGACTGTGACAGACTAAGGTATTTCTTCTATAGGATGTAAGACAATGCTAAATTTCAGGATGTCTTGCCCATTCCGATTTTAAGGATATTCTTTCCCAGACGTATGCAAAAGCTTATCTTTCCATTGTCAGAATAACGTAATACAAGGAAGTAATAAATCTTATAGTCTGTACTGTATTTGCATATACCATGGCTAATGTAAGCAAACTATGTATAAAAGCCAGCTCTGGAATACACTCATTTGAGAGTCTTGTAAAGCTGTTGTCCGTGTGTTATTGCTTACAAATGATTCTCCATCAACGTTGATTATGGTGACCGAGGGATCGAGAACCGAGGGGATTAGAGTCCATTACAACATTAACCCTTTCAGCTTGGTGTCTAGAAGTGGGATAGAAGTTGGATCAGCAAAACCATTGCGGTGAGTAGCCTTTTTGTGTCTTATTGACGCTGATTGTCTATGACCCCCGTTTGGTTCAGTAAGACTGTATCCAGTAGATAGGAAAGGTCTAAGGACTCTAGTTATATTGAGACCATGAGAGGTCTCCGGTTTATATTGAGACTATAAGAGGTCTCCGGTTTATTAGACATTTGGTCTAAATATATAGGGTTTTGGTAACCCAGGTTAGTATCTAAGATAGATACAGGTTTTTGAGACCATAAAAGGTCTCCGGTTTATTATAGGGTTTTGGTAACCCAGGTTGGTATCTAAGATAGATACAGGGTATCTCAGGTAGATACAGGTTTTTGAGACCAGAAGAGGTCTCCGGTTTATTAAGTCTATAGGTGTTCTGAGCAGCACGGTTTGTAGATCTATAAGTATAACCCAAACTTCTCTTTCTCCCGGTCACCTTTGTTTGTCTTAAGTGTTTTTTGTGGGTGATTGTTTGTCTATATTGGGGACACACTTTGGTAAGTTAGTAGTGTCCCCACTCTGAGTCAGCAGTATGGGAAATGTGAGTTCATGTCCTGAGTGACCAATATATGTATGTATATGTGTGTGTATGTGTATGTATATATGTATGTATATATGTGTGTGTATATGTATATATGTGTGTGTATATGTATATGTGTATATATAAGATAGCAGTACTTTTAAACAAATGGAGGTTTTAAAAATACATAGGGATTAAGGAGAGAACGCAGGTAACTTGTTTTTCTTTGGTTTTTACCATATATTGGGGCTGATGTGTACTGTAGTCCTTGCTGCTGTCCAGTAGTGATGGGAGTGAGCGCAGGACTTATCTTTCTGCAAGATAGCAGTACTGTATATTAGAAAAGAAATGACTCACAGGTTGTACCTGATAGACCTACTTAAATCTTTTTATTTTATTCTTTCTGTCGCATAGAAGTATAAGTTTATTATTCTGTTTTATTGTAAGTTATTTCACATGGGATCTATGTGCCTGGTATGATTGCTGCTTTAAAAATACTATAAGCCCACTACACTTATTATGAGAGTGGGATAGTGTAAATGAGTTACATTGTTTGCAAGTCACTTCATTAGTATTTGAAAGTTAATTCCCCATATGGGATTAATTGTATGGAAACACCAATCAGCACATCTTCCTTGCCCTGTGTGTTTGTTGCAAAGGATCCATACTAAATATAATTTATGTTTGAAAATAACAGAGCAACATTTACATTTTCAGCGGTCCAACACATGCTTTATTTTGCACTGTAAACTAACCTTTTTATTGCAACAGATTCCTTTTAAATGATCCAGTGTAATAACTACTGCTTGTGTCTTCTATGTCTCACATTATGTGTTATTTTTAAATTGTGGTATATAGCCTGAATCAGACATCATGGACAAAGGTTTTTTACCTGTGTTACTAAGGGCTCTTGGAGACTGACCGGTCTAAAGGTTTGCCATGCCTTTAAAACATGGTATAGTATAATTTTTTTAAGTCTCTGAGAGTTCTGAAAGATTCAGGTGAAACCATGTCTGTTTAATCTGGTCCAGATGTTTGTTCAATTTCTATAGGATTTAAATTGATGCAGCATCATCTCAGATTAGTTAATGGAAGTTTTAGACAAATAGTTGAGTTATGAGCGCGCTATATAAATGGATCCTTTCTTTAAATACAATACTATAGTAGATTAAAGTAATGAAGTTAATTAAGAAAATGTATACATAAGAATCCCTAAAATAAATCTAAACTAAAATTGGTATACCTTCCAATAATATGTTCTGAATACAGCTGTTAACTGTTTATTCTGTGTAAATGGTGATTGTGATAATGTGTGATAAGTGTGCAGTTTAACTTGAAAGTAGTTTAATTTATATGTTGCTGTATTGTTTTAAATTATATGTGAATCAGTTTGTCACAGTCTAGTGATACTGATAAGAATGACAGCCAAATAACCTAGCAAATAACTGGTTTATTAGTTGTTGAATACTAGTGTTTTGGCCAAGAATAGTTGGAGATTTGGAGGTGTTAGTTTAAGATTGCCTTTATATTGTGTCTATCTGTGTTTCCTAGGAGGGAGACAGAGTGTGTAGTTGTGTGCCCATAAATGTGATTTCTGTATTGGCATATCTGCTGGGTACCCATTATGTGTTTCTACAAAGATATTGTTTTGTGAGATGACGTGTAATATTACATTGGATGCTGAGTATGAGTTATATGGTTTGAAATGAATTGGTGATTATGAGCTTAGTACTTCAGTAAGATGTGCTAAAATTTGGAACAAGGTGGAAGCTGAAATGTTGGGATTATGGAAGAATAAGCAGTCTATATTCACTGCTTTGGCATTTAAGCAGGATGCAAAGGAAGAGATTGGTAATATGATTTTTGTAAAGAAATTTTACAAGTGTTGGAAGGATGAGGCAGGTTTGATGTCTGGAGATGATATAGATCTCTTTAAAATACAGTCATGCCTTGGTAATATGTTGCCACAGTATTATTTGCTTGTGAAACAATTGATTTCAGACTGGGCCAATTTGGATAGCTCAGATTTTCTTACCAAGGTTATAGAAAAGGAAAATGCAGGTTGTTTTGAATTAAGAAAAGATTTAGGAAAGTAAGGTTGCTTATTATGCTCAGGGATTGCAACATATTATGTCCAGCTACACAGGCTGAGGGCGAGGATGGGATGGAGCACATAAAGCCCGCGGAAGGGGTGGTCAAAGAGGGGCAAGGGGATGGAGACAGGGAAATCAGGGTTATAGGGGCAGGGGTAACCAAGGAGGAATAGACAGGAACACTTGTTTCAACTGTGGACAATATGGCCACTGGAGGAATTAGTGTCCATACCCCAGGAAACCCCACACACCCCAACAACCCCACAATTCTCAAAATATGCCCGGTAGGCAAGAACAACACCAGACCCACTCCCAACACCACTGGCCAGCATATCACTTAGTTCAGGACTTTAGAGCCCTGAATAGTTTAATTGTGCCCATTTCACCCATTGTCCCTGATGTGACATCCCTCATTACAGCCATTCCACATGATGCCACTTGCTTCACTGTCATTGATTTAAGTAATGCATTTTTTCTATACCTATTGATCAAGAGACACAGCTACTTATGTTTTTTATTTTTTGAAGGCTGCCAGTTTACCTGGACACGCTTACCCAAGGCTATGTGGATTCCCCAGCTGTTTATTCGTTGGTACTCCAACATACTCTAAAAAACATGGACCACCGGTCATGGTTCCGTCCTTTTTGCAAAATGTTGATGATTTGTTGTTATGTAGCCCTAGCTATGAGGCAAGCACTGTGGATACTGTCAGCAACTGTGGGTCACAAGGTTGTTAAACACAAAATGCAATTGTGTAAATCAAAGGTTGAATACTTAGGTTTTGTTCTGGCTTTAGGCACCAGACAATTGAGTCCAAAATGTATTGAGGTCATTCAGAGGATTCCTACACCCACTATTCGGAAGGAGTTGCTCACCTTCCTCGGCATGATTAATTACTGCCACCATGGATCCCTGAATGCTCCCATTATGACTCAATCCTAAGGGAGGCTGTACGTTCTGACAGCCCTGAAAATGTCTGCTGGTCACCAGACATGCTAGCTGCATATATTGCCCTTACAGTTGTTATTGTGCAAGCCCAGGCTTTAGGACTACCTGTGTATTGTAAACCATTTCATTTGTATGCTTGGGACAATTGTAAAACCATGGCCGCGGTCTGTGCACAAGAGCAAGGAGGCGGTATGCGTCCCATAGCATTCTTTTCCAAAGTAGTTCGAGCTCCGGTACAGGGTATGCCGGCGTGTCTCAGAGCATTGATAGCATGTGCAATGGCTGTTGAAACTGCTACTACTATCACACTAGGGCATCCTACAATACTTCATGCCAGTCACCAGGTCACTCAGCTGACAAATCTCACCACACAACACATGACAGCCCAGCGCTTCAGTGGTTATGAGATTCTTTTTTTTTAAATACCCAGAATCTGTCTTTTGGATTAAACAAGGTTTAGAGAAAGATCAAAATGATCTGTTCTCTAAAGAGGGGAGAATAGGCATACTTGAAGAATAGGCATACTTGAAGCAAGCTGATTTATTTTCATCAGTCAGGCACATAGCAAGCACCATTCAATTCCTCATGAATTCATTTTATATTAGGAATCTTAGGCAGCATGTACAGTCTTTTGTAAGATCGTGTGAACGCTGCTCTTTTTACACACTTACAGATTGATTTTATTCATGTATCCAAAATTGGTAAGAAACAGCAATACTTACTGGTCATAGTTGATCAGTTTAGTAGATGGCATGAGGCCTTTGTGACATCTAGGGAAGATGCTAGTGAAGATTATTGTTACTGAAATTATTCCCAGGTATGGCTGCCCTCTGCAGATTGGCTCTGATAATGGCCCGGTTTTTGCCAGTAGGGTTGCCCAGGAACTTGCTAAATTCTTGCAAGTTACCTGGCAGTTTCATATACCCTATCATCCACAGAATACAGGGGTAGTTGAAAGGATGAATAGGACTATTAAGGAAAAGCCCAGAATTTACCCAGGAACATGGGTAAATTGGACTAGATATCTACCAGCTATTTTAGCTGAGATAAGAATATATCCCCACAAGGTGAATTGTTGATAAAACCGAATGGTATGTATGACAATGTTTCTTCGCAGTTTTCCCTTACCTTCACAGGAACCTACTCATTCATACCAGCCCGGTGACAAGGTGTATATCCGTCAGTTGAACAGGACCAAGAAAGGAGGATACCCTTTTGGACCACCTGCTACTGTGATTGCTGTACCCAGAACCGCTGTCCTCACAGATTCCCACGACATCTGGATTCACGCATCCCGAGTGAAGCTGTGTCCAAAGAGGGGAACCAAGGAAGACAACACCACTCCTCGCTCGGAAACAGAAGAATTTCTCCTCAGCGAAGCATCATGGCTTTTCACACCATATCGTAGATTGAGAGGATCATACGTACCTGAGACCAAGATTATGTTGTGCGCTATGCTTTCTGGAGTTGTTATACTCCCTCTGATATTGTTCCTTGAATGCCATTATGAGTACAAGTCAATGGCAAGTTTGAAACCTGTTTGTTTCTGAAAAAAGACTCTGACATGATGAACAATTCTTCAATACCCCCAGCCCAATTAGGCCTTAGCCCCTCATCTAGCATTCGTCACACACGCCCCCTCAAGAACCTTTCTCCACCAACTTTCTATCAGCATGCAATATGCAATCATTCATTCACTGAACGCATTTGGATGAATTGGACAAATAGTAACCCTTATAAGTACCAGTTACCCATATGAAATGTGTCTACAGCTAATGAAACCGATGCATTATGTTTGTTTGAAGGTTCACAGAAAATTGTTAGATCTTATAACGCAGAAATGTGCACAGTTAAGGTTGCATATCAATGTAAACAGACAGGCCTTATTACTTTTAATAATGATTATATAACTGGTATCATTAATTGGAGAAGGGGACAAATGTTAGTCATTATGAACGACACTACAATTGAGAACTATACACTACCTTATATTTTTACACCTTATTACTGTCCTTTATCCTCTACCATAGAACCAAAAGTCAACAACGACACACACACACCTATTCCGTCCACATGTATTAATACAACTGCCTTCTTACAAGCTGTACATGTGTCATTAAAAATCACTACTCCTGTTGTAACATTATGTAACACAGCAAACAAAAGGCAGAAAAGGGAATGGTATGACACACTGTTAGATGGTGCTGGAACCACTATGGGTATACTAAATAGTTATAGATATGGAGACCCTCAAGAATAAGTTAAACACAGCCAGCATGCATATAGGGACTGGTTTCCATGCTACTGCAAATTGGGCTCCAATTGTTGTTAAATCACAGGTTACAGGATTGGATTTAGATAAATCAATGTATAATTATTTAGATAATTTAACTGTTGCAACTATGAAATTCACTACAGGTCTAAGTAACTGGAGTACTTGTGCCATCAGGTATTTATGGATACAACAACAAGGATTGGCATTAGAAAACACACTAATGATTCCTAAACTAGAGAAGATTAGAGGAAAGCGTAACCTCACAGATAATGAATGGTTACTTCTAAAACCCCAATCCAGTAAATGCAATGGATGGTTAACTGGTAATGTTTCACATATTTCATGCTCATGCTATTTTACATTATATCATACATCATCAAAGGATGTTAAATTAGCTTGTCAATTTAACACATTACCAGTACCAGTTTATGATCTTTTTGCCAAGAATTTAACCTGGTGGGCACCCACATACACAGGGGACTATATTTTTCCCAAAGATAACACACACAGGTAGCCACACATATCCTAAAAGGAGAACTCCTTAAGGTGAGTTCACAAATTCAGAATGATTTAGCCCATCATTGGTACGATGCTTCACTGGTTGGTCCCCTACTGGATCCCAGATAATGAAATCATTCTTCTATCCTTTTGTTATTATAGTCCTGATTTTATTGTGTATGGTTTTATATAACTGTCACCTTACTTGTACATTGAGGAAGAGAGTACAGAAATGAATCCATAATGCAGAACAGAAACAATTAGAAATTCTCCTCTCTGCCACTGGAGGGTATCAACCCATCTTTAAACTGGGCCTTAGGAATTACCACATGGGAATCGAGGTGAAGAAATTAATGAAAGCCCCGCAGGGAGTGACTAGCACCCCTGAAAATACCATGTGGAAGTTTCTCTGTCCTGGTAAGATTTTATCGATAAGATGAGCAATTGTTTTATTGCTCAAAGAGGGGAATGTAAGAATATTAAATAGTTAACTTGTTTATATGTATTTTATGCTTTTATAAGGTTTATAACATGATTATTGCTGACTGAAGGAATATTGAATACTTAAACTCAACTCAATATACGACATAATATGCTGACTGTGACAGACTAAGGTATTTCTTCTATAGGATGTAAGATAATGCTAAATTTCAGGATGTCTTGCCCATTCCGATTTTAAGGATATTCTTTCCCAGACGTATGCAAAAGCTTATCTTTCCATTGTCAGAATAACGTAATACAAGGAAGTAATAAATCTTATAGTCTGTACTGTATTTGCATATACCATGGCTAATGTAAGCAAACTATGTATAAAAGCCAGCTCTGGAATACACTCATTTGAGAGTCTTGTAAAGCTGTTGTCCGTGTGTTATTGCTTACAAATGATTCTCCATCAACGTTGATTATGGTGACCGAGGGATCGAGAACCGAGGGGATTAGAGTCCATTACAACATTAACCCTTTCAATGATATTATATATTGAGCAAGAATTGGCTTGGTCGGCTACTTATAATGAGGTCATTGAAGAATTTACGTCCATAACACCTTCTGTGCAACGTCTTCTTCTCTAAAGCATAAAGATGAGGAATCCATAATAGTCTGTGGGGGTCCTGACAACTTTATTGATGCCAATTTGGTTGAAGCAACATTTTGATTTAGTTTCTGTTGTAAACATTCCCGTGTACAATGCACTTTGTGTAAAAATTATTACTTTTTTTTTAGATTTGTTACAGTTAGAACAGCTTATTTATTTTAAAGTTTTTTTAAGTAAATTTTTTTTTAAATGTTTGTTGACATTGCTAAATGCTTATTTAATAAAAAAAGTTTTAATACGGTTTTTAAATGTTTGTTTATATTGATAATTATATGAGTGTGGGTCTGTATGTATGTATGCAGAGTGTATTTGTGTATATATATGTGTGTGTATGTATATATAATACACACGCTCGCGCATGCCTACATTTATATATGAAATGTAGTTTTATTTGAATAAAATATAAAAAAAAGTGTGAGAAATGAAGAAATGTTATTTTTTTCAATTTGACAATTTTTTTAAATTTTTTAATCAAGTGGTCATGGGGTACAGAAGAGAAAAAAGGAGGGTGGGGGTAAGTTTCTAGAGGTATCCACTGGCAAAATTTTCTACCCTCACACATGAAATATGCAACAACAAGCGCTTGTTCCATCTGGGCTATACGTGTCATCTTTCTAGCTGAACCTGGTGGTCATAGCTACCCGTCTGGTCTAGCTTGTGCTATACTCTTTCCTTTGCCTGTTGGAGCCTGTCATGCCGGTGTAGTTCCTTCTATCGAGGCCCTTGTACCCACAGAACGTCGGATGCAATTATATTGGGGGAGGGTCGTGGTGGCATGGTTTGACGGTGGTACGGGGTAAAGGCGTGAGGTAAGCTATGCCATATTCCATGCCAGTTCTCTGTGTCATTTTTGATAGGTGACTTGCCAGGGGGAGTGGGGGGAGGGCTAACCAGAATCTGGGGGGCAGGTATTAACAGGTGGGGAAGCAGTTGTTGAGCGGCTCATGGTTTTGATCTGCAACTGCGAGCCTGTGCCCAAGTGTTGCCCACGTACTACCTTGGGGCTTTCTAGTGTTTTGCGTCCATTCTACATAATTGTTGGTGGTGCGTTGTGCAGCCGTGTATGGTCCGGGTCTGGAGTGGGGGGGGGGGGTCAAGGGTGTGTCCGGTTGGCGACCGGTCGGGTTTCCATTGTGTCTGAGTGCGGCTGAGGGTAGGGGGGTACCCAGTGCATAAATTTCATGAGGTGCGAATTCACTTCCAGCGAATTCGCTTCCCAGTGATATGTGTCGTCATGCTTCCCTCTTTGGGAGGGTGATGTTCTCTGCTGTAGGTGGCGTGGGCTAGGGAGAGGGTGAGGGCTGCCTCCTGGGTCGGTCTCGCTGGGCCACTTTTGGGTCCATATGTCTCCCGCTTTTAGTGTATCAGTGTCGGCTTTGATTTCTGCATGAGCCATGCGTTCGTAGGCGCAGTTTGTGGATATCTGCTATAAGAGTTCCTCATTGGAGGGTGTGTTTTTCGTTTTCCACCTTCTGGCAATCAGTGTGTTGGCTGAAATCAAAATGTGGAATAGGAGTTTACGTTCTATCCGTGGGATAGTTCTGTGTTCCATAAATAGTAGGCAAACCTCTGGTGTTAGAGGCAGGGTTTGGGGCAAGGTCACTACAGTGCCAACCATGTCCCAGAATTGTCGAATGTTGGGGCACGTCCACCAGACGTGGTACATGATACCTGTCTCTCCTCCCGCATCTCCAGCAGGTGCTGGAGGTGCCTGGGTAGATGTGTGCCAGCCTGTCTGGGACCAGGTACCAGCGATATTGCAGCTTCCGAATGAGTTTGGTGGTTCAGTGGTGAATGCGGTGCTGAGGTTTTTGTGCCATGCCTGCATGAAGTTTGCTCCCCCCATAGCCTCATGTGTTATCAGTTCCCGGTATATGGTTGATCTTGGGGGGGTCTTCTGGTAAGGCTAAGTTTTTCGAATGTGGTCAACGTAGGGGTCACAAGTTTTTGCGTGGTCTCATGTAGGCAGGATTTGAGCTCTAGGTAGGAGAAGATGGTTAAGCTGGGCAGTTTAAATTGTGTTTAGAGTTCTGGGAATGCCTTCCACCGTGTCCCCTCTTATAGTTGGAGTACATGGGAGCACCCTTGTTTTAGCTATGGTCTATAGTTAAATGTCGGGTTGCTCAAGTAGATGCTATAGAGCGGGTGGCCAATGAATGTGGGATCACAGAGGAGGGCAGTGCTTCTCTATAGTAGAGTTTCATTTTGGGGAGGTTGAGTCCTCCAGATGGTACTGGTCTTCGTAGTATGTTAGTCGCTACTCTGGCCTTTTTTCCCGCCCAGATGAACTGCATTATCGTTTTTTGGATATTGTCTAAGAAGGCCTTGGGGAGGAAAATCTGCAATGTGTGGAGTAGATAGTGGTATATGAGACTGAGAGAGTGGTATATGACTGAGAGAGATCTTTCTGGTCAAAACTGAAAATGCTTTGCAAAATAAAACTACCATTGTCTGTGTTATTATAAAACTAACATTGTCTGTATTATGGGACATTTTGCCAGTCCAGGAGAGGAATTTGTCTTTCCAGCTCTGAAATGTTGTTTTGTATTTGGTCAGTAAGGTCTCGTAGTTGTGTTTGTGGAGGTATGGTATGTGCTTAGTGGTTCGAATTTCTAAGAAGGTAAGGTAGTCCGATCTCCAGTCCGATCTCCAGTCGAAGGAGAATGTCGATTTCAGAATCTCAGTAGTATGCCAAGTGCTTGTGTCTTTGCTACATTCTGTTTGTAGTATGAATGGAGGCCATAGTCCTCTATTTGTTTGAGTAGATTAGGGAGGGAGATGATTGGTTGGGTGAGTGTGAGGAGGACGTCGTCGGCAAAGAGGTTTGTCTTGTATTCTTTATTGCCTATCACAACTCCGTGGATTGAGGGGATCGGCCCGAATTTTGGCCGCTAAGGGTTCGAGCACTAGCACATATAGGAGCGGTGAGAGTGGGCAGCCCTGTCGGGTTCCGTTTGTGATGTTAAACTTGTCAGAGAGGAACCTCGCGTTAAGTATGTATGCTGCGCGGTCTGTGTAAAGGGCTCACACCACCGAGATGAGAGGCTTCGAGGCTCCGATTTTTCTCATCACTGCATTTAGGAACCCCCAGATCAAGCGGTCGAAGGCCTTCTCCGCGTCTAGTGACAGCAGCAATACCCGTCCACCCCTGTCATGCAGGATGTCCGGTACCTAGCGGGTATTGTCCGAGCCCTCCCTCCCCTTAATGAACTTGTTGTGTATAATGTCTGGGAGTATGTGTTTGACCTCCGCCTCCATGATTGGTGCCGCTAAGTCAGTCTGGTGTTGGAGGGACAGTGTTTGCATCTGCATATCATCTAGGTATCTCGCAATGCCCTCCCTTGTGGGTTGTGGAGTGTTTGGGTCCCGATGAAGGTTGTATAGGTTCGAGTAGTAGGTTGAGAACTCGTTGCTTATGTCTTTCGGGCACATGAGTTTGTGGCCTTTACTTGAAGTTAGGTGCGCGATAGCTTGGTTGGCCTGCTTTTGTTTGAGTCTGGCTGCAAGGAGTCTTCCCGCTCTGTTTCCTTGTGAGTATTGAGTGGCCTTCAACTTTCGCAAGCCGAACCCCACTTTATGGAGTGCGTTGCGCTGTATGTTTTGTTGGATGAGTTTGATTTGCGCTAGTGTAGTTGGCATTAGGTCTTTTTGGTGGCTCGCGCTTAGGTGATAGAGCTCCCACTGCCATGTAGGCATGGTTTCCACTCTGTTTTTGCACTTTTTGGTCAATCCTTCTGTGGTGCGGTTTACCACTCTGTTTTTGTACTATGTAGAGAACTGCGCCTTTGCTTGCCTGTGGAGGTGTGACGCCCTTTTAATGAGTATGCCTCTTATCACTGCTTTGTGGGCTAGCCATATTGTGTGGTTTGGTAGATCTGGGGTTGAGTTGTCGATGAAATTAGTATGTATGTCCAATTGAAGCGTCCTTACAAAGTTTTGGTCGTGTAGGAGGGACACGTTGAGCCTCCATGGTGCTCTGTTTTTGTATTCGTACATGTCTGTCAATGTCATGGTGATTGGTGCGTGGTCTGACCATACTATTTGTACTATGGAGCTATCAATTATTTGGTTTAAATCTTGGCCTGTCATCAGTAACCAGTGAATTTGGGAGTATGTGTTGTGAGCCGAGGAGAAATAGGTGTACTCTTTATCTTCGGTGTGGTTAATCCGCCATGTGTCATACATTTGGTGTGACAGGAGTAATTTTGCTAGGGCCGTACATTGTTGTTTCAATGGGCGGTGTCTGGGGCTGTAAGGGGATAGGGTGGTATCTAGCTGGTGGTCTAGGATATGGTTAAAATCCCCACATATGATCACTATCCCCATTTATATGGCAGTAAGCTTTCAAAGGATTTTGTGTATATTGTTGGGGGCATAGACGTTCGCTATAGTATACGTTATATTGTTGAGTTCGCCAACAAGTATGGCGAACCTGCCTATGTTGTCAAGTTCATGTGTTATTGGTTCAAACGCTATCTGTTTGCTAATTAGTATTGATACCCCCCTGGATTTGGTGGGTGAGGTGGCATGGAATTGGTGAGGATACGTGTTGGCGAGAATCATAGGATGTGTTGTCCCTTTGAAGAAATTTTATTTTTAAAGTTCTGCATGATATTTTAACTGTGTCATAAAACTGCTTTTAGTGCAATGTCTCACAAGTACAACAGTAACTCATCTGTACAGGTTTTATGGGGTTTTGGAAACTAACAGGATAAACAGCAAAAACATATGTGAGGAAGGCTGAACTTGATGGACGCAAGTCTTTTTTCAGCTATGTAATTATGTATGTAACTATATATAGGACTTTCCCCTTTTCAATTTTTGCAATTTGAAATTTACGTGATTGGTTTGTTGGCCCTATGTTGCATTTGAGACTG